TTCTCCAACTCGTTTATCAATCCAATACTGTACGCACTAAGAATTCCTGATTTCAAAGAGGCTCTCAGTTTATGCTGTTTTACAAGACACGAAGTGATGAGCAGCCAAGAAAATGCAGGAAGGGATGAGATGGCTGCACATTTGGCGCCAGTGATACAGAGACGAACATTGACAGTGGATCACATTATTTTACAGCTCACTTTTGAACAGGAAATTGTACAAGATACAAAATTGTGATATATAACGGGAAAGCAACAAAAAATGGTAAAAAAAAGGATCATGGATTGTTAGGGCGTAGCCCGTAGAAAACATTACGGTGCCGAATTCAACTGATAACTGAATACTACTTGAGGCGAACTTCAGCTGAGCTTTGTGATCCATTAAATTGGTGTAAAATCAATTTTTGGCGCCTTTCCTTTTTCCGGTCTGTTAGCTAGGCGATAGATTAAATCGATGTACATGTATAAACATAGCTTTAACGCTTACAAACATACCAAAAACCGTGTTTTATTCGTTAAGAACAAATAAAAGAATATTGCTTTTTGTGCAGACAACCAGTGATGATGACAATGATTAAATAAATGTGGCAATGGAGAAAATATCGTAACCCACCCATGGAGGGTCACTGGACCTGATTCCGAAGGGTAGTAGGGTATTAGAAGGCATATAAGTCATAAGCTAAACTAGAACTTTCAGAGGGTTGGGAGACAGGGATCGAACCAATAAACCCTTGTTTTTTTTTTTTTTTTTTTTTTTTGGGGGGGTGCAGAGGTTATGGATTTGCATCATCCTTTTCAGTTACATTATTATGACGCATCATAATCCCAAAAAAATAATTGCATGGGCCGGGCCTCTCGTAGGACGCAAAGATCTATCGATCGATCCGAAGATGTCTTTGTAGAAAATCCACTTCGTGTGATTTCTTTTGCTGTTGTTTAACGATACATATTTCCTTTAGTCCCCTCATTTTTGTTGTTTAAATAGAAGGACTAGAGTCTGTCTTCAAATTCAGTTACTGCCTGGATACATAAGACCAAAGCATTTTCAATTTAGAACTCGTTGTTTTTTTGAACTGGGACTCATTATGGGTAGAATATTTAAGCCGAGTTTAAAGATTTTTTTATAGAACCGCGTTCTAAGTCATTTTCAGCTTACCCAACGCTTTTATCTAAACACCATTCGGAACAGTTTCATTAAAGCATATAGTGTATATTCGAAAAGCATTTATCTCCTTAAAATAACCCCCTAAAGAAGAGATCTGGTGGTCCAAAGATTTCTTAAACCGTGGTCTAAGTTCAGTGTAAGTTAGACATCGTTTAAATATCCGACCCTTCTAGACTGGGACTCAAGATTTTTCACAAGATGAGTCCTAGGACTCATCACCTTTTTTTCTAACAAAATCACTGTGCATCGTCGTTTGATTTTTACTTGAACATACAACAAAATCTCAAGAGCAAATCGCTCTGATTTTTACATCACATAGACGTTTATACACGATAAACGCCATCTACGCGCTTACAAACTGACTTTGGGATGAAAGCGTTAATATTGACTTCCAAAGCACAGTGTTTGGAAACCAATTATGTGACCACCTGTTACATACCTTCGGAGAAAGTTACCCGCCATTTAAAGCGAACACTGCATGAGAATATCTTTTCTTACTATGTATAAAGTGCTCAAGACGCCTGAATGTCAACAATTCTTGCGTAAAAAACAAAACCAGTTCAACAATATTCTTAAATGCCACGTTAAACGTGAAAGCTGCAGATCATTTGATGTCGTCATAATGACAATTTTCATTCAAAGCAATTGTCATTCAAGAAGGGGATTTTAATTCCAGTTGAACCTATAATTAAAGTGACGGCGTACAGTTTGAACACAGAGGAAGCAGTAGCCTGCGTAGCATGGCGGTTTTGTCGAGCCGGGCGCAGGAGCGGCGTAGCCGCGAAATTCGCGCGCGAAGCGCGCGAGAACGAGCGGCGAAGCCGCGAGAAAAATAAAAACCGCCTGCCCGGATTCGTGGCCTTTTCAACTGCCGCCCCCTTTAACTCATTTTGACATCCTGTTGACAACTTGTTTGGTTTCAGTTTTCCCAGCCAATCAGAAATAAAGTGTTGACAGCCTAAACACGACACAAAAACTCGTGATATAGTGTAAAACGTGACCTTGGCCGGAATTGGAGTTTGCTTGAACAAACACAGGTTTTTTCTTTGTGGCTATCTCGCGCATAGGTGATTACACTGCGTTCTAAACTTGACTGAGTAGATCTTATTTTTGCTGCACTAAGTCTTACATTTATTGAGAGGTCATGAAGTTGGTATGTTTAATCCGTATTGAGTAATTATTTCCTGTGGTTAAAGTTATTTTCGCTAATTAGAATTTGTTGATCTCAGATGCAGTTGTAAAGTACTAATTTCCAAAGCTTTTTATTACGGCTAAATAAATATTTTAGTTTCTTTGGTCTTTTCCGACTAAAATGCCTGGATCTGGACAACTACAAACCAAGGAGCCTTGGTTTGTAGTTTCTTTGTCACTGCTTTGTCCGTGAATGTTTTGACGCTGGACCCGGCTTTTTAAGTGTTGTTTGCAGGATGTTGTATTTTTACGTATAGCGCGATCTTCAGATTTGAGTCGTAGCTTAAACTTAAGCTACACCAAGCAAAAAAGTATGGAGAATAACGCTGTGCCTCTTTCTTCTACTGTATGCGATTCATATACCACAATCGCGGACACCGTTCGATGTATTGCGCCGGAGTGCGTTATTCTGTAACACCGAGTAATAGAGAAAATTGAGGTGAACTTTCTCGAAGCACTGAAATTTACTGTTTCTGTCATAAGGTCCATTGCTTTACAGCTCAGTGACAACATTTCAGTAATCTGGTCGTCTATAGTACTTTTTAGAGGGGAAATTGTGATCATACAGGTTTTCGATGAGGATATTTCTTCTTTGGCCATAGCAAAGACAGTAAAGATCATACTCTTGCCAAATCTTGTTGACAAAATTTCCATGACATCTCTCCTTTGAAGAAGACTGTAAATGGCCATTTCCTGTTTAGGCTTCAAGGTCCTTCAATACAATTGCCCTGTTTTCCCGTCAAATATTCATGATCGACGACGCTCCGGTCAACGCTTCTTTGATATTTTGATTTTGTTTTGCGGAGATGATTTGTTCAGTCCCTCGAAACTCTCCCATGGGAGATTACCAAAATGTTTCATTGACAGGCGAACATTCCGAACCAATCGGAACGATCCGTACGCTGGCGTACGAACCGACTCAAAAAAGACCCCGTCTGTGCAGGCGGTTTTTCAAGTTGCTTCCGCCCAATCTCCTCGCGGTTTCTCTGCCCTCGCCCGCCTTTATTACTTAGCGCGCCCAACCAAAACCGCCATGCTACGCAGGCTAAGGAAGCAGAGGGCCATTCGTACAATGCTCCTGATGATAAGAGATTAAAAAAACTAACATTTTTAAAATGAAGAATAACTTGCAAAGCAATTACTTTGTAAATAAATACAAAGATTATTTGCCTAGTTTGTATTATAAATAAATTTTGTGATCTTGTGTTAAAGATTGGCTATGCATGCTGTACCGAGGAGCTGTTATTTATACAATAACAGCGAAACAGCTGTTAACGCTGCCAACACTGCTTTATGGGAAAGCCAAAAACACTAAAAGTCACAGGCACAAATAAACAGACACATTACAGAAAAATAAAGGCGTTTGATAAAGCCCACCATTAGCTACTACTGCCAGATACTAATACTCAATAAATCTTACGTATAATATATAGCATGCTAAGTATTGTCAATCCCTTATCCTGCTAAAGTGGACGATATACCGCTTAAAACGTCTACTTACGCAAAATATGTTATATCTCAAATTGTCCTTGCCAACAAGCAAACCGACTGTGCCGGCTTAGAATAGAAAAGGACATACCAAAGTAAGAACGATTCAGTGGCAAAATGGATGGAAATCAGGCGCGGATCCAGAATTAATACTGACCGATTTTCTACTTATAGGGAGGTCTGTGGGCATGGATTCCTCTAGAAATTTTTAGATTTCAACTCCCCAAAGTCCCCTTCAGTGGCTTTCCGAGTCATTCCGACAGATTGATTAGTCACTGTCCAAACCATTTTCCAGATTTTAACTCGGAAAGTTTAAGGTTGTTTACTGAAAATATATTTATTATGAAAAATCTGACCGATTTCTGTAAAACGGTTAAACCGGTATGGGATCCGCGCCTGGAAATCAACAGAGTAGTCAAGCAACAGCCGTGGACAGCTGCTTTGCACTTATTAAAATTCATCAGCACAATCTAGCTGGAAGCTTTTACAAAACAGATCTAATCAGCCACATATATGTACTAATGACAAGCAATGAAACAAGGCTAATTATGCAAACAATTTTCATTCTCCTCTCTGACCGATTTCTGTAAAACAGTAAACCGGTATGGATCCAGGCCTGGAAATTAACAGAGTAGTCAAGCAACAGCCGTGGACAGCTGCTTTGCACTTACTAAAACTCATCAGTACAACCTAGCTGGAAGCTGTTACAAAACGGATCTAATCAGCCACAATATGTACAAATGACAAGCAATGAAACAAGGCTAATTATGCTACCAATTTTCATTCTACTTTTATTTCAAATACCGTAATATTTTTGGAATTGAATCGTTTTTACTATTTTTAAGTTTCATATGTTAAGTTACCTTCAAATTTTCACAAATTTTGAATAACTTTTTGGTGAGCGCTCAATAGAGAACACAGGTGATTTATCACTAATTTTGCCAAAAATTGACAATTTAGTAGACCTCTATGATTGTCAAACCGTCGCCTTTGTTGTTCTGTCAGTTGGCCAGTTATGTAAATTATCCATTTTGTCATTTTTTTTACGTTTACTCAAAGTCATTTGCAGTAAAATAACCATCATCACTGAACCTCGTAGGTCGGTACAAGTCTGTTTCTCATGCAACACTAAATAAAGAGACTGCATTGACCAAGAGATGACAAATCAGGCAAATAAATCAACCATCACTCACCCGGACGATATGTCCTTTACTTCGGTACAAGTCATCCCTTGGAGTTGTGCTCTTGCGACTGAAGCTGTTGTCATTTTCGTGGGAAACTTGCTCACAATTGTACTTTTTGCACTTAACAAGAAGCTACGATCTAAGAAAAGTTTATATCTTGTTTTGAATATGGCATTTGCTGATCTGTTTCTGGGAGGTGTATGTCTCCCTATGTATGTTTATTTCCTGGCTCATGGTCAAGTTAAATTTGAAGAAAAAACTCCAACGTTTTTTACGATTGTTTTCTACGTTTTCGCACAAGCATCATTCATTACTGCTGCTTTGATATCTTGTGAGAGATTTTACGCCATCTATTGGCCGCTGAAGCACCGGCAGACACTTTCTACGCGAACATACGGGCTCGTTATTTTGACACTTTGGACATTAAGTGTCTTGGCTTCTCTTTTTACAGATTTTCTCGTGCAATTCTTACGCCTGGTGGCTCTGAATTCTTTACTGTGTTTAACCTTCGTGTCTGTACTTCTAATCATCAGCGGCCTCAATTTTGGTGTTTGGAGAAAGATTCAGCAACAACCTGTTCCTCATCACCAAAACAGAGCCTTACAAAGACGACGCTTAACGAAGACTTTGTTATTAGTATCTCTCCTCGCCTTGGGTTCTTGGCTTCCAGTTTCTGTTTACAATTTGATAGCCTTTCTTGGATATAGGATGTCTAACAACATTTCCCTCATAACGACCTTTACCTATTTCTCCAACTCGTTTATCAATCCAATAATGTGCGCACTAAGAATTCCTTATTTCAAGGAGGTTCTCTGTTTATGCTGTTTTACAAGACATGAGGTGATGACGGCAGCGAGGAAAATATAGGAAGGGATGAGATGGTAGCCTGAGATCATGCCCTCTCCCTATTATCCCTGTATGTCTCCGGCCAAAGAAGCAAAGAAGCAAAAAATTTGACGCTAGTGATACAGAGACGAACATTGACAGTGGATCAAAATAATTTAAAGCTCACTTTTGAACAGGAAACTGTAGAAGATACAAAATTGTGATGTACAACGGAAGAGCAACAATAAATGGTACAAAAAGGATCATGGATAGTCAGGGCGTGGCCCGCAGAAAACATTGCGGTGCCGAATTCATTTTATAACTGAACACTGCCTAAATGCAACTTCAGCTTTGCGATCCATTTTACCTTGAAGAATTTAATCAATGTTTAGCTCCTTTTCTTTCCCCGTCTGTTGGGTAGGCGACAGATTAAGTCGATGTACATGTATAAACATGGCTTTACCGCTTACAAACATACCAAAAAGCGTGTTTTATTCGTTAATGACAAATGAAAGAATATTTTTGGTTGTACAGACAAAGTAAAAGGCTAAACTAGAAGTTTCAGAGGGGCGGGAGAGACGAATCGAACCAATATACTTTTTGTGGGGAGGAGGGGAGGGTTATTTGCATCATCATTTTCAGTTACATCCAGTGATTTTGCTACTTCTTCGTCCTGCGTCCCTGACGCATAACAATCTCTTAAAAAATAATTGCCTCCCATAGGACACAAAGATCGATCTATCGATCTGAAGATGTCTTTGTAGAAAATGCAGTTCGTGTGATTTCCGTGGCTGTCATTTAACGATGCATATTTCTTTTAGTCCCCTCATTTTTGTTGTTTAAATAGAAGGACTATATTTTAATTTCAGTAAACTGTTATAAAGAGTTTTGGAGCCGGTCTGTCTTCAAATTCAGTAATTGCCTGGTTACATCAGACCAAAGCATTTTCACTTTAGAACTCGTTGGTTTTTGACCTGGGACTTATTGGGCTGGTTATTTAAACGTATAGTAGTTTAACCATGCGGTGTTTACTGAACAAAACCGTGTTCTAAGTCAATTTCAGTTCACCCAACGCTGTTATCTAAACACCATTTGTATAGTGAACAGTTTCATTAAAGCATATAGTGTATACTAGAAAGAATTTATCTTCTTAAAATAACCCACCAAAGGAGAGATCTGGTGGTGTCTACGTTTAAATATCCGACCTATTGGTTCTAGACTGGGACTAACAAAATCACTGTGCATCATCGTTTGATTTTTACTTGAACATACAACAAAATCAAGTGCAAATCGCTCTGATTTTTACATCAAATAGACGTTTTACACGATACACGCTATCTTTCCACACGCGTACAGACTAATTGGGTGAAAGCTTAGTATTGACTTTCAAAGCACAGTTTTTGGAAACCAATTATGTGACCACCTGTTCCATCCCTTCGGAGAAAGTTACCGGCCATTTTGAGCGAACACTGCATGAGCATATCTTTTATTAGTGCATGTATAAAGTGCTCAAGACGCCTGAATTCCGACAAACAAAACCAGTGTCAACAATATTCTTAAAAGCCGTGTGAAACGTGAAAGCGAAAGACCATTCGATGTCATCATAATGACAATTTTCATTCAAAAGTTGGATAGCGCTATCTACCGGATAAATCGCTATCCAGTGGATAAGTATTACAAAAACTAATTGGGTTATTCACTGGATAGAGAATATCTTGTTTTGTATATGGCATTTACTGATCTGTTTCTGGGAGGTGTATGTCTCCCTATGTACGTTCACTTCCTCGCTCGACTGCCGCTTCATGGTCAGGTCAAACTTGATGAAAAGACTCCAACGATTTTTAGAAGTATTTTCCTCGTTTTCGCTCAGGCATCATTCATTACCGCTACTTTGATATCTGCTGAGAGATTTTACGCCATCTATTGGCCGCTGAAGCACCGGCAGACACTTTCTACGCGAGCATACAGGTTCGTTATTTTGACGGTCTGGACATCAAGTATCCTTGGTTCTCTTTCTACAGTTTTTCTTCAGCAATTCTTAAGCCTAGGGGCTCTGAATTCTTTACGATGTTTAATCTTCGTGTTTGCAATTCTAATCATCAGCGGCCTCAATTTTGGTGTTTGGAGAAAGATTCAGCAAAAACCTGTTCCTCATTACCAAAACAGAGTCTTGCAAAGACGACGCTTAACGAAGACTTTGTTATTAGTATCCCTCATCGCCTTGGGTTCCTAAACCACCCAACGAGAGTCACTGGACATTCCGAATGGGAGTAGGATCTTAGAAGGCATATTAGTCTAAAGCTAAACTGAAGTTTCAGGGGGGTGGGAAAGAGGGATGGGGCCAATAAACCGTTTTCGGGGGTTTTATGGATTTACATCATCATTTTCAGTTACATCCAGTGATTTTGTTACCTTTGCGTCCTCCCCCGACGTACAATAATCCCCAAAGACGTCAAATAACGATGCACATTTTAGTCCCCTCATTTTTGTTTTTTAAATATACATTTTAGTTTCAGTAAACTGTAATAGACACTTTTGGAGTCTGTCTTCAGATTCAGTAACTGCCTGGTTACAAAAAGACCCAAGCATTTTCAGTTTACTCGTTGTTTGTTAAAGAGACTTAATGATTCTGGACTGGGACTGGAAATTTTTCACAAGATGAGTCCCAAGATGAGTCACAACTTTTTCTAACAAAATCACTGAAAAGATTCGTTTAAGTTTTACTTTTACATACAAGAAATCAAGAGCAAATCGCCTTGATTTTTCATCAAATAGACCTTATTTATGACCCACGCCATCTTTCCACACGCTTACAGACTAATGGGCTAAAAAGCGATGTCACGTGGTTTTTTAGGGGGCAAACAACTGATAAAATTTGCCAATATAAGAAATCGCAGTCGAGTTTGTTCATTTTCTAGACAACAAAAAGTAAAGAACTTTTTAACTTAAGGGCGATGTTGGCAAAATATGGGTGGAAGTGATCATTGTGACATTTTTGGATGTAGTTACGTGGTCGTAGATGACCTCAGAGCGAGCAATAATAAAGTAAAACTTGTCTAAACCTGACCTCTACATTTTCCAAGACTAATCATCTCATTTTGAGAGAATAAACAAACTCGACCGCGATTACTCGTATTAGACCCTTTTAAGGTTGACGCCGCCATTTTACCCGGGTGCGAAACTACTGGGGCGAGCGCGCAGCCACGCATAAATTACAGATGGTTGACCCTCGTGCCAAGAAAAATCATACTCGAAAGTACGTCTTGGTAAGACTATCCATTTTAAATCGTCTTATAGTTTTGCCGTTTTAACTTCGGTACAGATAGGTAAAGGTCATTTTTGATTCCTCGACAAGCAGAGGAAGTTCTTCAATGCGAGGACTTCCTCGGTTGGACTGTTTCGTCGCTCAAGGATTTTCTGTCACTTAGAGGACTCAAGCAAACTGGCCGAAAGCCTCAACTTGTTGCGAGTGTTGATAACGTTTTAAAAAATTCGTGACTGTTATATGAGGTACTTTTGCCTTGCCTGGTTTTGAGTAGTACTTTTACTCGCACTTCGTCGTTTTCGAGTGCGTTCCTGAAAAAAAAAATTATTGTTGTTCGGTTTGACGTTTTCGTTATTATACTTGTAATTTTGGATAAGATTATCCTTATTAAAAGTGGTGAGATTTCGGAACTATTTGGTGTGTTCTTGTATTTTCCACACCAAAAGTGGCGACCCTGCCAGGACTTGTAAACTTGCTTGAAACTATTTTGCACTGAGGAACACTGACATTGACTGGGAGATAAAGCTTATTAACTGCAAAGCATGGTGGATCTTGCGGAAGAAAATTACAAGAAGGCATTGAAATAGGCAACCTACTATAGTTAAAGAAATTGAGGGAAAAAACACTGTAGTGACAGAGGATTTACGTTTGGCCTACGAGAGAATATGTGACATAAACAAAGCACTCGAGGATTCCGCGAACGGTGTTAAAATACGCCATGTTGGACGCTGAGACTAGTTTTTGACGAGGTACGAAAGTGGTCGGACACCCATAAACAAGATTTCATTCCTGTACGAATCCTAAGAGATAAACCGAAGAAGGCGTTAAGCGATTTAGAGAAACAAGAATTACATAAGAAAGAAGAAGATTGGTTTAACAAAAAGTTTGAGCTAGAACTTGCCTTAGATGCAAAAAAGGCTGCACAGGAAATGAGTAAACGACAGACAGTTAAATTACAGAAGTATTTAATTACACCTTTTAATGGGGATTACAAAGATTGGCTCAGATTTTGGAATCAGTTCGTAGTAGAAGTTGATAACTCTAAAGTTTCTGAGATAAGCAAATTTGATTATTTGCTTGGGCTGGTAGAAGGGGAACCAAGGAGTCACATTCTTGGCTTACCGCACAAAGTTGAAGGCTATGAAAAGCGAAAAGGGTCCTAGAACTTACTTACGGTAAAAACATTAAGGTTCTCAAGGCATTAATTAAGGATTTGGACACAATTCCAAACATTACAAGCCTCACTAAAGTAAAAAAGATTCATGAGTTTTACAACCAACTGTCTAGAACTGTGAGAGCCATAAATACAATGAAGAAATTGCAAAGTGCACAAAGCCATGTTTACAGCATTATGGACAAGCTCGGACCAGTGACAGAAGCTTTAGTACAAAAGTATGCTGATTGGGAGGAGTGGGGGATAGAAGAACTTGTAGAAAGCCTACGGAAGTACACTGACAGAAATCCTTTACCCGAAACGTCTTCCCGGAACCAAGATGTCAAGAAACCTGTGGGATCGAATCAAGGAAATCTGCAGAGAATAAGTGAATAAATGCTTATGTCATTGATACTTTTGTAATAGAGTAGCAATGAGTCAATGCTGATAAGCCTGTTTTAACCTACCTGCCTAAACCCAAAATCTCTGAACAGAAGAAACAGAATCATCGCATCAGGAGGCCAGTATTTAGTGAGGAGCAAGTAACTGCTGAGAAATTACTGGTACACATAATCCTTGGAGCAGCTGAAATTTAACGAATCAAGTCAACTGAACCCCCAGTTCTAGGTCTTAACCCAGACACCGATACCGGAGCAGAGTTCACCATGTTGGGAAGGGTTATTGCTGAGGCAGAAAAGATGTTCTTCATAAACTCTGGTCAAAATGAATTTGCGCAGATGTGTTCCCAGGAAGTGCTTGGCCTGAAAGATTTGGAGAATGTATATGATACCTTCCATGAAGATTTCATAGATCAGCTACAGCGATTGGAGGATGGCACCTTTTGCACAAGGTTGCCTTGGAAACCTGATCATGCCTCTTTACCTTCAATCAAGGAACTGACAGTTGGGAGATAAAGAAGTATCACACGAAAACTGGAGAGGATGGAGAGACTTGAGGAGTATCACACTGTTATGGAGCAGCATTCAGAAGAAGGATCATAGAGGTGCAGCTAGAAATACCCACTGGAGAAGCCATACATTACATTCCCCACCAACCAGTAATCAGAGACCAGGCAAAGTCTACAAAGATGAGGATAGTGTATGATTGCTCAGCTAAGGCCAATTCTGGAGTGTCTTTGAATGACTGTTTGGAAGTTGGACCCCCTCTACAACCTATGATTTTTGACATTCTACAACGAAATCGTCCGAGGTTTTTCTATTACCGGGGGCATCCAAAAGGCTTTTCTTCAAATTAAAGTGGACCCAAAGGATAGAGATGCCCTTCGTCTCTTATGGTACGAAAACCTTGACTCAAGGACAGTTACAGAGTATCGATATACCAGAGTGATTTTCGGGTCAGGACCTAGTCCTTACACTCTCAGGGTGACACTATGTGAGCCAGTATACTGAAAAGTTTCCTGGTACGACTGATGAGTTGCTGAACAACATTTATGTGGATGATGTCCAATTAGGCGGAAATCACAGCGATCAGTCGATTAAATTAAAGAAGAGGCCACAAAGATTATGGACGAAGGAGGTTTTTATCTCTCAGAGTAACCTACCAGAGTTGGAAGAACATCAGCAAACTGAAGATGATGCAGTGTCTTCTCAAGCAAGTACGACTTATGCCAAGCTAGAGGTAGGAAGTAGTCCTAAGGAAACAAAAATACTGGGAGTTCTTTTGAACAAAGCAGAAGATAAACTTTCCGTTCGCTTCATGAAACCATTACAGGCAGTTGCCGAGCGCCCATTGACAAAGAGGAAAATGCTGTCAGCTGTCAATGGTGAACATGATTTGCTAGGTGTTGCAGGACGATCTTGACACAATTAGCAAAGAGAAAGTGTCAAGGCAGATGAAATTCTTACAAAGAAGTAAGGAACAGCTTCGAAGGAGGTTTTTAAAAGAGTATGTCCACGCCCTTGGGGAGAGAAAGTCTAATTCCATCGCAAACAATTCAAAAATTCCAGACACAGAAGCAGTGGTGTTGTTGAAAGTGAAGTAAAGGATAAAGCACTGTGGAAGCTTGGACAAGTGATGGACAAGATTATTGGCAAGGACAGAGTGGTTTGCGGATTGAAGCTGAGGCAAGGAAATGGATATATTGTCGAGCGTCCCCTGCAACATGTGTGTAACTTGGAAACTGGAGGAGAGAATCCTGATTACAAGCTTAACCCTGAAGCAGAAGTGTTCGTACCAAGAGTGAGGCCAAGCAGAAGGACCAAACAGATTGTCAATAAGCTGTTCAAAGACTGTTGCACAAGAAGTTGAAGATGGTGACTGGCATTTAAGCTGATAAACGCTTAAATGGGGAGAGGGTGTTGAGAACGTTTTGAACCATTCGTGACTGTTATAGGAAGTCTATTTGCCTATCCTCGTTTTGAGTAGCACCTTTACTCACAGCTCGTGGTTTTCGAGTGCTTTCCTGAAAAAACGTGTTGTTTGGTTTGACGTTTTCATCATTACTTGTTCTTGAGGATAGGATTATCCACATTAAAAGTGGTGAGATTTCGGAACTATTTGGCGTGTTCTTAATTTTCCAAACGAGAGCGTTTGGTGCATACGAACTTAACGTACTCGTAAAGTTTTCACAAGAACAGATTTATCAGCAGATAAAAGAAGAATATTCTCGGAGGTTGACTTCAAATGAAATGAAAACCGATCCAAACAAGATACCGCATGACCCTTGGATTGATAACGTGATGACGTAAATTGTTTAGTAACACTTTGAGTACAAAAGCTGTTGATGTGGAATAAATTGGAAAATACAAAGACCACAAAGCTTACTCGTATTGGATGAGTGGCTTTGAGGACACAGTCTTGTTTACAAAATGCCCCGTTGACAGCAAGCATGTGTTTTTAAAAGGCTGTATGTCACATTCACAAAAAATTCGCAATGACCCGCTCAAGGCCTGTGTATGTTTCGAGGGCACAAAGAATGACGGTAAAATTGTGACTTAATGGTGTACATTTACAGCTGGTACTGCTGAAGTCTGCAGCCATCTAGTCACTTTGATGTACAAAGTCAACTTTGCATACAAGAAAACATACATCTCTTCCGCATGCACAAGACAGTGTTGCACAGGGATGGAATAAAGGGACAAAAAAGGATGTAGAGCCAAACCACATTAAAATCTTTGTCTTTCGTAAAGACAAAAGGACACAAGAGGACAGTGCCAGAGATCATCGGGACAATTTAAATGTCAAGAACCAGTTTAACCCAAGGAGACCGCAGGATAGGCAGCTGACCAATGAGAGGGTATCATCCCTGATCAATCACATTATTCAAAACATTCCATCAACTTGTGCACTTAACTCCATAGGGCACACAAAAGATGACAGTCTCCCTGAACTCCTCCTCAATTTTTTCATGTCATCTGAAGAAATGAAAGGGAATTTGTTGAGGCCAAGTGTTCTTACACTGTACGAAATGAGAATATTTATGTCAAGGACACATTCGACCGAGTCGACTTCCTTGAAGATTTCCATTGAAACCCCGCTTGAAACGCTCCCACAAGTATTATACCCAAACACAAGAACAAATGTGGGTTTGTGGTGTCTGTCATGGGTTTTTCATTGGTTGGACACAGGGCGGCCCCCCTTTCTATCATGTTCTATGAGCGAGTTGAACTTGACATGGAATTTTGTCCCGAAAACAATATTACATTGTTTTACAAGTCATTTGTATTGCCATGCCTGTTGGGGTACAGGGAAATTTTTTAATTGCCCAAAGTGCAAAGAAGTGATTTTAGACTAGGATGAAATAAGCGGCTCTGCAAAGGAGAACATTATTTGCTGTGACACTTGCAGGGTTTGCTAGAGCTGCCTGGTAGATGCAGCAAATGCAATTGACAGTGACGATAAAGAAATTGAGTTCACCTTTGCTCAAGAATCCACTGATGTGAATCATGTTTGTGCTGTTTGTTCAGTGAACAGCCATGAAACCACGAAACGAATTTAAACAGCCTGAAAAAGCTATCGAAGGATGATGACCCATTTGTGAATGCCATAGAAAAAAAGAGATGTCCGACACAAATGTGTCCACGAAATAAAGGTCTAGAGAAGAAACCTGAAACTAACAAGTCCAAAGATAAATGTGGTAGGTGTGGTTACGATAAGACCCACAAGAAAAGTCCAGCAATGGGACAACAGTGTGGACTCTGTAAGACGATGAATCATTATGCAAAGTTCTGCAGATCAAAAGAAGTCCACAATCTTGAAGACGTAGAGGACTCCGGTCCAGAAGAAGAAGAAAGTGAGAAGGAATTACCCCTCTTTGTGTTCTCATTGGAATCAAGCAGTGTGAAGGAAGATGCGCAGTTCTATGAAACTGCTGAAAAAGAAGGTGCTCAGGTGCGACTTCAGCTGGATAGTGGTGCAAAAGCAAGTGACATGTCAGCAAAGGTCTACAGCAACCTCAGACGTGGATCCCCACCACCCCTGAAAAGACAAGCACAGCATTGATTTCCTTTTCCAAGCACAAACTGAAACCTAACGGCGAAGTTGTGCTGACTACGAGATACAAAGATCAGGTGGAAGACGTACGATTTTTCGTCGTGTCTGGGATTGAATCGGTGCTTAATGGACACAAATGCATTAAACTTGGCTTTCTGAAGAAAGTACATCAACTCACATGCAAGAAACCTGGCGCAAAGGTGGAGCTGGATGATTTCCCAGAGCTCTCCACGGCATTGGGATGTATGCCTGGCACTTATCACATACAAATGGCCAACACTTTCAGCATTTTAGACACCAAGAGTTAACCTGGGATCAGGCTCTATTTTCGTTCCGCTTTGTAAATAACATTCTGGCGGGAAAGGTGACACGAAAAGAGAGCCTCATACAAGCCTTCTACAAAACGTCTTCCGTCCATTTCTTTGATTGGCGTTTGCCAAATCAGCCAACCAAAATTACTTCCGTTGAATGCTTCTTTTAGTATGCAAATTTTTCACACGTGGGAAAAATGCAGATTTGCTACTTTAAAAAGTCAGCACAGTCACATTTAACTTCTTGCGAGATTAAAGGAGATCTTGCTGGTTTTTTGTGTTATAGTAGAAGGTAAAAAGTTTTCAAAAAGACAATGTTCTCGTTTGAATATTTGTTTCTTATTTTTTAAGGGGAGGATGTGATATTGAATGTATTGCGAGAGAGACATTCCCCTCCCTAGCCATTCATTTGTTGTGTCACATGACTTACCTGGGAATAAACATGCGTTCACTGTCAGCCATCCTGACTAGTTTATTATCTTACAATATTCACTCCATAGAGTGGCTGCCAAATCAAGTCCACTTGGAGTTTCTGTGAAGCATTCAAAGCAGTCAATAATGCATCTGACTTTGGGACATATCTTTCTGAAACAAAATGGAAGAGTCTTCTTGACCTGCTGTCAACTTGGCCACACAATTAAGACTGACAGTTCCTTTGAGTCTTGAGATAAGCTTAATCCAAGTGATAAAAATGCTACTGACAATGCTTGCTAACACATGGAATCTGAACCCCAAATCAATAGTTAAAAGAACTAGTCTAAGTTTCATTGGAGTCAACAAAAACTCCTGCTTGAGGTTAAGCTTCCTTTAAGTCCCACGTCTTCCTTTAGCAAAACAAGTTGCCAACTCGAAAGGAGAGGGAGTTTGAGGTGCTTCTTTCGTTCTCTGCTTTCCACCCAGCCAATATTGTATAGACCGTACCTTTTCACTCAGATAATCGAATACAAACTGGAATGTTTCAGGTGAGGACAGACCTCCTGTGTACACCCTATTTAAAATGTCAGTTCTTTTGTTAGCTGTTCAAACTGCATAGGAATTTAAACGGAGTAGTCCATATCGATTTCCATTTCTTCATCAGTTTCCTCACTATCATCATCACACTCTTCGAGGTTGGGGAACAAGCATCTTGAAGGACCAGCTTCTTGCAACTTGTTTGCCTTTCTTTTCTTAGGCAACTTTTTTTGGAGGTAATTGGAGACAGTCATAAAAATCGACAGATAATCCATTTAAGGGTTTTCAGGAGTTCTTCTTCCCAGAGGAAAATGATTGGAACAGATGAAAGTACCACTAACACCAGGGGAAGGATTGAATACATCACATCATGTCTTCACTACTTGCATTCACCATATTTCAGTGAGTTTTGGATTGACAAGCCAATTATTATTGTGAAACAATAAATTGTTCACATGGGATCTAACATACCGTAAGCATGATCAGCATATCTTTTGTCATTATCGCAAAATCATACCGCACAACGAGCGTGTTTTGGCTTAACAGATTATTCAGCTATGTTGCCATTTGCCTGGCCACACGCTCGCCCCAATAGTTTTACACCCATGGAAAAATGGCACCATTAACCTTGAAAGGGTCTATTAATTTTATCACCTGTTTTCCTCCTGAAATACCATGTGGCCTCGCTTTTATGCCATCAATTCTAAAGCGCGTGCAAAGATGGAGAGCAGCGTGAATGAGCTCTATTCTGCTCATCATTTTCATCGATATGCATGCATGTATGATATGCATATCACGTGTGATGATATTTACACTTTTGACAGTTTGTTCAAATGAAGTTAGCTAGTATCTAGGGTTATAGCAAGACATAAAAGAGATTAAAAATAGTAACTCCAATTTGTAAAACTCTACAAGTACAAACTGCATAATCATTCTGATTGGCTTGTACGTCTCCAACAGCCTACAGAGAAAAGCTGAGTTATAAATATGCCAATAAAATGCAATGTGTACTTGTTGAGAAAACATGCCCAAAAAACATCTTATATTATTTTAGAACAGAATACTGGCAAGGTTTTAATAAACAGTAATATAAGACAATCCCACTCTCTACAGCTGTCTGATCTATGTCATATGTTTGTTGACTCAGGGCTCTGCCTCTTGATACAAACTACAATAGTCTTCAGATAAAAATGCCATCTTTATAGCATGTTTTGTCACACATGTATCCAACAGCAAAAGGTTTTTTCACGTTTTAGCTAACTAAAGAAGACGTCCCTGCTTGATCAAAAAGTATAACTGCAAACTTTAAGCAAGTTCTCAACTGCAGAATAATTGGCCTATGTGCCTTAAACTAGAACAAGAAAGGAAAGGAGTTTGCACATGCATGCAAGACAAGGTGGTTATAACAGAATCCTGCTCCTTTTAGGTAACTCAAAATCTCCTTTTTTTGCCCTGCCTGGTACATGAATGCTAGTTTTTCGGAGACTGGAAGAAAAAATGATGCTACAAAATAACCAGAGTGGGCAGCAAAGTAAAGTTGATTGCAAGAGGAAAATGCAATGATTTGTACAATGTTGCTTTCAAAAGACTGTTTGCATTCTCAAACAATGAAATATGATTACTGGTAATATCCTGTAAAAACATCTGATTCACTACTTGTATTTCTTGTGGCATCAGTAAAGTAAAAAATGTACAGAAAACAAGTCTCACATGGCAATGAAGAACAGCTAATTGTTAAATGAACATGGAACTAGTATCTTCTTGTATCCCGTCTTCGTCCCGACCTAGACAAACAAAAACAAAAATGTTTAAGAGCTAGACAGGAGAAACAGAATTCCCTTTTTAGGGAGGATAGGACAGCTTTCAAATACAGGCAGGGCAGTGTTTGCTGACCACGATTTATTATAAAAGACTTCAACCAGCGTTCAAAGAAAGTAGTGTCCGATAGTTTGGGGCTAGTGGATTTTGCTATTGGGCAAGTGAATTTTGTTCTCAACTTGCCCGACGGGTAAGTAAAGTTTTTTGCGAAATTCAAATTACAGAAGAACTGTGAAACCAATACTGCTCATAAAAAAGTTTTCAGTTGCAGCTACTTCAAATGACGTTTGGGCTAGTACATGCTAGTTTCAGCTTGCCCGAATGGCAAGCTGTAAAACTGACTTTCTTTGCTCCCTGCTTCAACTAACTAACTTTTCAACAAAAGAAGTTAATTACCCAGCGGTTTTCTGTGGTCCTTTTACAAAAGCCCAGTCAACAGAAATCTTCTGCCCAAGGAGATCTGCCCCATTAAGAGCATCCATTGCCGCCTGTGCTTCCTTGTATGTTTCGTATTCCACAAGTGCATAACCCTGTAAAGTACATGTAGGAATTGTTGAATCATTACTTCAAAACAGTCTATATTTCTAGTTTATTTAATGATATAAACAAGACATACTCTTGTACATGCATTGATGCATGATCTTTCAGTTTTATGAACAAAAAGCGGTGAAGGAGCACCGTGGACATTCTTTTCTGCATAAGACAAGAAAAGCACAGAGGGAAGCATGTTGTTGTAACATAAGCTAGGTGCAAAAATCCAAACATTTTTGGGGTCAATTTTCTTGTTTCTAGAGAATCCAAAACTGCACAAACCTGACCCAGTTACACATCACATTACACAAAAATAACATTCTCTTTTATAAATAAATAAATAAATAATGATTTGGAAGTAGCACATCCACAAAGTTCTTCTTCGTCTACTTGATTCCTGATCAAATATTGGAATTTGGAAATGTTGATTTTTGAGGACAGGGGAAAACCGGAGTACCCAGAGAAAAACCTCTCAGAGCAAAGGAGATGACCAACAACAAACTCAACCCACATACGGCATCATCACCAGGATGTGAACCCAGGCCACATTGGTGGGAGGCGAGTGCTCTCATCCAATGCTCCTTTATATGGTTACCATGAAACTCAAAACACCATTGACACAAGAAATGTAGTGAAATTTTAAACAACAATAGAGTCACCCAAGGGACAGAGCCAGATGTCACAGTCATAGTCGTAGGTGTCTCATTCTGATCCAAGAGCGGCAATCCTTTTGCAGCAAAACACATCAGGAGCTGGGACCAGTTGCAGGAAAGCTCACAAGCATGATTGCTACCACGTTTGTAACCATTGGAAATAGTTGAAATGATATTTAAAATATCAGAGCCTGCACAGAAATTTGGAAATCCGCAACTCATGCACTTCTTATTTGGGAAAGACTTACCTTTAAGAAACCAGTTCTTCTGTCCAGATTAGCATGGAGGTTTTTTATTTCTCCATACTCAGAAAATGAGTCATGTATATCATCTTCTTGGGCTTCTTCGTGTACATTGGTGATAAACAAGATCCACCCTTCAACAGCTGTAATGAGATCGAAACAGTGTCCAGTGCTTTATATTTATTTAAGCAACTAACAGTATAGCTGTATCACCTACATGTCCCACTGCTGATCCCCTGAGAAAACGGCAGACATTTCACGACACGACCACTGGTTTCCTTGTGAAATGACGTCCGAGAAATGGGTGCAGAAATTCCATGCTGATTACATGTCACTACCCAGATCTTGGCAATGTCATGTCATCAGTATGAAATTTCTGCACTCTATTGTCAGACATCACCTCGCGAGGAAACCAGTGATCAATGGCGTCACGAAATGTCAGCTGTTTTCTCAGGCTACATTGCTTAAAGCAGCAACATTTTTTAGCTTTACAATTTTCTCAGAATGATTATCTATAATACTTTTACGGGTTTTTAAAGTTACACAAATGACAGTCATAGCTTTCCAAACTATGTTTTTCTCCCCCTGGGGAAAGTAGCCAGGGATTTGACATCTTGTATTATTAAAATGAAACATTGTGTTTCTAGAAAAATGGCTAGGGCTCCCATTTCTACTGGCAGGAGAAAAATCCCAGTTCTCTGGGCCTAAATAACAGCCCTGTGTGTTATACATTCTCTAGCATCAAGAATAAGCAGAGGTTCTTGGGGTAAAT